ATCTCTGGAAAAAACTTGACCTACTCAAGACAAAGGCTTTTCAAGAATTTGAAAAGAATTCTCAAATTCTTGAAAAGCAACAAGCTTCGGAAACCTATGAACTTTGTTCCATTCACTAAGTCAATATGACAAGGCCAGAGAATATCAGGAGAAATAGAATTTCAACTTTTGATAATTCGGCTAATCGCTCGGTGCTCTACTTTTCAAGTTTAAATCGCTTGCCTGAATAAAGAGAATATTTGAACTCAAATGGATGATCGATGTTGTACATTCTTAGGAAAATTCCTCTTCGTAAGAGTGGGTACGGTTCATTATTCACCTTTCCCTCCCCTCCCTAAAAAAGGTATCATTTATTGATCATCACTCACATGAAGCCAAACGACATCCTCTCGATCATAACATCACGTGATTGTTACAATATTTCCGTCATATTTAGATTAACACCCTTAAAAGATAAACGGAGAGAGCAATGTGTTGTCTTTTAAGGGCACAACACTTATCAACCCAGCCGTTCCTCTTATTTACCAACTTTGTTTTCGATGACGCAAATCGCAGTAACTGGAAAATGAACAGCTCATGAATAGATAGTCATCACGCCTAAATAGCTTACCGTTTCAAAACAGAAGCTCCAATTCAGTACTGTAACAAGTCTTGATTGTATTTTTGGGTTAAGAATTCAATGGTTCTTTCAAAACAATGTACACTGAGACCGGATGTTACCTGCAACCAAAGTGAATTGTTTCATTTTTGCATGCTCACATCCGTCATCGGTAAAAAAGTGAGACGTACAAAACCGAAATACATTTACGTATATTGGATGGCACCGCTTTGAAAGTAGAATAACAAATATCCATCTCTCCTTACCTGTCCTTCATTGGAAGGAACATAATGAATTTCATTTAAGCTTTTGCAATGGACACTCGGAATTCATAGTTTTCACATAACGGTTGGAATTCTGCGCGAGGTTGGTGCGTTAGTAGAAAACAAATCCATGGTAAAAAGTCGGGAATTTATCAAAATTATTTTTTTTGTCTCTTGTCACGCCATCAAACTGAAAGTAAACGGACTGAATCGACTTAAAGCCAAGAATCATCAAGAAAATTTATACCCATCAGGCGAAGTCTTTCTTTCGAGTCAATTGTTTTTCACTGAATAGGCAATCGCCCAAATTTCGCACAAAAATTGATGGGATGTAGTTTGAGGGGGCCAATTTTGTTCCCTTACATAGACTGTAAATGAAATGACCGTAAAGTAAATAAGTATTGTTTCTTTACGCCATGCAAAAAGATAAGTTGGTCAACATGACAAGGCCCGAGAATATCAGGAGAAATAGAATTTCAACTTTTGTTAATTCGGTTAATCGCTCGGTGCACTGCTTTTCAAATTTAAATTGCTCGACCGAATATAAAGAGAATATTTGAACTGAAATAGATGACCGATGTTGTTCATTCTTAGGAAAATCCCTATTTTTGTAAGAGTGGTTCAGGTTCGTTATTCACGTTTCCCTTCCCCCTCAGGTGTCATTTCTCACTTACATGGAACGAGATCCTCTCGACCATTACATCGTATGATTGTTAAAATATTCCGTCTTATTTAGGTTAACACCCTTAATAGATAAACAAAGATAGCAATGTGTTGTTTATAAAGGGTACAGCACTTATCAACCCAGGCGTTCCTCTTATTCATCAACTTTGGCTTCGATGACGCAAATCGTAGTAATTGGAAAATGAACTGTTCATGAAGAGATAGTTAGCTTACCGTTTCGGGACAGAAGCTCCAATTCAGTACTGTAACAAGTCTCGATTGTAATTTTTTGGGTTAAAAATCCAACGGTTCTTTCAAAACAATGTATACTGAGACCGGATGTTACCTGGGACCAAAGTGAATTGTTTCATTTTTGCATGCTTACATCCGTCATCGGTAAAAAAGTTACACGTGCAAAACCGAAATATATAATTTAATCAGATGGCGCCGCTTCAAAAGTAGGTTGACAAAAATCCGTCTCTCCCAATTAGTCCATCTGAGCTAAACACATTGACACTTAAGTAAAGGTTTTACTTATTATCTTTCCTTCAGTGGTAGGAAGAAAATGAATTTCATTTAAGCTTTTATAATGGACATTCGGAATTCATATTTTTCACATAACGGTTGGAATTCTGCTCGAGGCTGGAACGTTAGTAGATAGCCCTTCGGCTAACTCAGAGGATGTCGGAATTTAATCTTCAGAGGGGGTAGCTTGAAAGAAATCATCATGTCCAGTGTCGGTTAAAATACCAGTTAATTCCTCGAATTTAGTCAATGTTTGGTAGGTTTAGGTGGGGTTAAAAACGTTAAACCGACTTTGCCGTTTATGAATTCCTCTCAATTTCTATCGTACATATCAGAATTCTCTTCCGCCAAGTCATTTATCAATCATTCATAACTGAACGAGGTTTGAAAAAGTATTAAAAGTTATCGAAATATAAACGATGGTATTTTTCCTTTATACATCTCATTCAATGGAAGACGTCACAGTTTCTTTTCAAAGAGGAGGGGACAGTGAGATTTCTTTATGATGTTAATTGGTTTTTAATTTTATGATAATTTTCTTTTGAAGCTTTCATAACGATACTAGTGTTGTTTGGATTTTTAGAACAGTCAGCATTGATGCAAATTATCTTTTGAAGTTAGAAACGTTTCTTATTCATTTCGATGAAGGCAAAGGGACTTGTATAAGATCTTCTGCAGGAAATCACCTTTCTCCTGGAAAGAGAAGAAAAAAATCCATGGTGAAAAGTCGGGAATTTGTCAAAATTATTTTTTTCGCTCTCTTGTCACGCCATCAAACTGAGAGTAAACGGAATGAATCGGCTTAAAGCCAAGAATAATCGAGAAAATTTATACCAACCTGGCAAAGTCTTTCTTTTGGTGTCAATTATTTTCCACTGAATAGGCGATCGCCCAAATTTCGGACAAAAATTGATGGGGTGTAGTTTGAGGGGGCAAATTTTGATCCCTTTCATAGACTGCAAATGAAATGAACATAAAGTAAATAAATATTGTTTTTTTTTCGCCATAAAAATGATAAGTCGCCTGTTGCGTTCTGGCAAATAATTATTTCACGACTCAGGACACAAACAGTCACTTGATACCAACATTTTTATTCATTTATAATTTCTTCCTCAGCCAGCCATTTTAATATTTAGGAATAGCATTAAAGGTCATGTTGATGACTGGCGAAAAGTTTCATTTTTCACAGGTTTTTTCCTTTCGAGGTAAAACGTCAATACTATTGTATGCAGTAATATTTTTAATTTTGGATTTTACAGCGTCAAGCGAAAATTGTTAACGGATATCGCCCTGCGCAATCTTCCGTCGAGTGTTAGAGACATATTAATTTTGATTTTCAAATCGTTTCCAGTTCTGTTGTATTCGTATTAACGGCTCGTACATAACGGATTAGTTTGGAATTAAAAAACCCCAATTCCTTAAAATATTATCTGATAATTTATTAGTTCTTGTTTTCACTGTTTTTGTTAAAAATCCTCCCCGCCACCTCCCCCATTGAAAAAATATACCCATCCCAATTATCGAAACTACCGGAAAGTGAAACCTCCGGTAAATTCCGAGTGATCAGAAGTACCTTACATTAGGATGAAAAATCAATCGTTCTTTGGAGGAAGTTTCGATGAGTTTCAGGAAAAGCCTTTTCATAGTTTCGGAATCTATGGAAAAAAGTTGACCTATTCAGGAAAAGGCCTTTCAAGTCAAATTCGTTCACCAAGTTTTCGAACAAAATTACTCACCTCGGCCCTCACATAGAAGACATTAATAGATATATAATCCAAGGAACTGCTCATGGATTTCGTGATTATAGTTTTTTCGTGATGTTTTGGCAGATGTTCAAATTGCATCTACCTACGCTGGTCTAATGACCAAAACACTTAAAATTTTCACTCACAAGTTGCCCGTAAATGACGAAGTTCTCCCTTATTCAAGCAGTTTCATATACATATTTGCATAAATCGCTCAGAAGTTGCGCGACATTTTTAAACTGTGTATGCCTGCCGCAGTCTGTCACAATCAATGACGTGTTTTGAAGGACTTTCAATCTTTCAATCTCGATGATTTGATTTAGACCTTCCTTTTCCTGAAATAGGCTAAAATCAGATTTCTGAGCTAACTGTTTCTGTATATGTTGTTTCTCAGCCCATAAAAAATTCGTTTTAGCAGCTGTGTATAAACTCAAAAGTAGAGAAACCATGGTGTGGCTCACTTTTCAGGCATGTTTTCCCACCTTAGCCGACACTAAGTTGATTCCAAAGACCATGAGATGCTTATGACGAATCTCCTGGTCGATCTGACTTGACGCGAATCACTCTGTGACCAAGGACTTAGCCTCACTCCTAGCTGACTGATAAACTGACCAACTTACGGATAGATTGACCGACATGCTGACTGACTGACTGACTGACTGACTGACTTACTGACTTACTGACTTACAGGCTGACTGACTGACTGACTTACTGTCTGACGGACTGATTGACTGAATGACTGAATGGCTGACTTACTGACTGATGGACTGACTTACTGACCGACTGACTTACTGACTGACTGACTGACTTACTGACCGACTGAGATACCAACGTATTTACAAGTACGACAATGATAAAGATAAAAAACAGTTTTGACAAGAACTGATGTAACGAAAGACAACTTAAAAATTGCCTGCAGTCAAAGTTTTCACCGATGGCATATGCATTCGGTAGATAACCAGAAAAAAAACAGTAAATTTGTTAAGGCATGACTTTTTTGACCCTCTTTGGTCTTCGAAATTTAGATGAAATCTCCTTAACTTTATTTCCTTACAAATTATTCTCTCATAGCTTTAGCCTCTCCTCAGTTGATTTATATTTACTTCTTAAGCTTCAAAATTTGGATTCGAAAGTTTGAAGCGTATACGTAGCGTCTCTTTTATCTTCTACACCGTTTTCAAACCTCTTGTTAGCAATTCCTTTGGGGCACACTGAGGACAGGATTTTGAGGTAGCCTCCCCGGTAATTCTTGTTGCTTATCCCATATATGAACGGATTCACACAGCTGCTGACGAATACCAGAAGAGAAAGGAAATGATGTAATTTGGTATCCAGTCGCGCTTTTCCCATTACTGTCAAAGCGTAGTTGGTTTGACTTGGCGCGAAACAAATGATGAGCACGAAGCAAGCGGCGCCGACCATGCGCGTCATTTTCCCGCGTAATTTGGCCTTGCTCTCAGCTGAGGCGACATTGGACCTGCTTGCCTTACAAACCATGTGAATGAACAGGCACAACATGGTCAGGCTTGGAAGCACCATTTTGAACAGGACTTGAATAGTTCCAACAACAGCACGGACTGTATTTTGGCCCCAGAGAAACTTCCATTTGCATCGGCGGCTAGGTGAATTCGAAGGAACGAAAACGACTTCGAATGGGGTTGTAATGACTAGGAGGAGCGACCATAGCCACACGAGGAAGATGTAAACGAGGGTTCGCTTCTTGTTAAAGACTTCTTGGTATTGAAATGGCCTGACCACTGCATACCACCGCTCTGTTGCCAAAGCCATACAGATGTATGCGGAGAAGACCACTAACTGAAATAGAATCACACGACTCCATATGAATCGGCAGAAGATGTCACCAATGACGTGATTTGTAGGATAAGGAAACGCGTTACCGAGGACAAAAGCTGGGTTGGTGATGAGAAGTAAGGCAGTCATAACATCGGATACGGCCAAGGACAGAATCAGTATGTTGTATGATTTCCTTAGAAGTTTCTTGTTCTCGACAAAGACGAGAATAACCAGGGTGTTTCCTATCATAGCGACGATAGACAGAATGGAGTATGTAAAACGTGTGAAGTTGGTTATTCCAGGTAGAGGCTGGCTTGACGATGGAGTCGATGAGTTAGAGACATTCATACTCGTCTTCTGGATAAGGGTACCCCGCTCTACTATCTTGGTTCTTGGCAAGTTCAATCAATTCGTACTTACTTTTCAAAGTATTTGGGTAATCTGAAGATAAATGGAAACATACGCACATCTTAATTTGAACATTTACAGCATTTATTCGTTGGAAATTTCTGGTCTGTTACAACCAGGTTAGTTGTTAGAGATAACTGATTTCAGATGACGGGGGTGGATGCAACAGGGACTGCAGGCATTAATTGTGGCACGACTAATCTAACAAGGTCATGGAAGTGTAAGCGCCAAAGCAAAAGATCTTTTGTTGTGGGATTAAATTAGGCACAGCCACGCGGCAAGTAGCGACCAACATTTTGGCAAGTCTTGGGCTAACCTCTCATCCACAACATAGGAAAAAAAATTCCTTTGGAACAGCTGTGTTGAGAAATGGTTCACTCTCGGCGGTCCTTGAAAGGGATACAAGGTAAAGCATAAGTTCGTGATACGCGTTGCGGTTAATGGCCAATAAACACTTTCCCCTTCGATATTTCAAGCTAAGCCTCATTAGAAGTATATGTATATCCATACTAATATTGATTTCAAAACATCTTTTTTATGCATTTGATTCCAGTCTGCTTCGGGATCTCGGTGAAACATGAGATTATTACTTCCCGTCTTCTTACATTCAAGCAACATATTTTGATTATTTTGATTATTTTGATGCGCTAATTTCCTCTCGACTAATCTTCTATCTTTCCTCAACGGGACAAGTTTTGTCCAAGTTCTCATCGAAGTTTAATCGGCAATAAATTCAAATTGTACGAGAACTGGTCAACAAGTAATGAAGGAAGTAGAACACTCGATCACACTGATCTCCGTGATAAATCAGGCACAGGATCAGTGAATAAAAAAAATAGACCCGTAAGCAGAGTAATCTGCGAAATAACAACATTAGGAGAAGTTAGTCGGATGAACCCCATCTAGGGCCATCAAAAAGCGATAAACTAAACCTACCAAGTAAGCTGAAACTGCCTCGCTTGCCTATGATACTCCCTAGAACATTTCTTTAACTCTGGGTTTTCGCATGAAATCCTGATGGCAGAAGTTCGTTTATTGTGTTTTTGTCGCTTTTTTTCGCACGACTTTTATTGCGGATCGAAAGTCGCTGATTTGCGTTGGCAAAGTGACTTTGTTTTTAGCGATAAAAGAAAAATCAATCTGCATTTAGCAGCAATTTTTAAGTTGTTTGTTTGTTCTTACTGGAGTTCGCCTCTTTTGCGTTTCTGTAAATGCCTACATTGTTTTTCTCCGCTTAGTGCAAGAGTACTTCTTAAATTTTTGATCTTCCTGATAATGATCGTAATGGTTATTTGCTAGTTCTCAATACGTAATGAAAATCTCAACATAATTAAAAAAAAAGCTTTGGGACCAATTTTTGAAAAGACTTTGTCAGAGTCCAATTTTGAATTCAAGATGAATCAAAGAACGCTTGCACGATGATTATGGCTTTCAACAACTGATTTCTAACACGAAATAAAAAGGATCCCCAAAATTTATCAAAACTCTTCTACCAGAGTGTATGGATACATTTCAATCACTATTTAGGTGTCACCAGTCGGTACCTGTCATCCTTTCTACCAGAGATTTCGTCCCACCTGGTGTGAAATATGATTTTTCATAATTTAGGGTTTTACAATCGTTTCACTAATCAAATCAACGGATGAATTTTTAAGCATATTTTACGCAGACGTCAGGATTTCTGTAATGGCTCGAATCTGCAACAGCAGGAGTTTTTAATCAATATACCTCTTTAGTTTTAGTTTATTGTTGTGTTGAATTAACAATTTCGTTTGAGAGTCTTTTCAAAGTAATAACCTGATAAAGTATGCCATCCTTGACTGGTCATAAACAAATAACAACTTGAAAGTCACCATTTTCCAATCTTTATTTACAGAATATGCAAGTAAGAAATCTCGCCATCGCTGCTCATTTGACATGCTATGGGAGAATAAAGTCTTAAATGATTTCAAACCACATTGAAATTTTTGTTGCTATACCATGTTCGCCGTGGATCAATTTTCAATTGTGTGTCGAAAGTGTATGCGAGATTGTAGTGGTTTTGATTTACTCCGCTCTGTAATTGCCGTCCAAAAAATTTGCGCCAACCTCTCAACTAATCAGTTGCAAAACTAAAACAAATCACGACTTGATCGGCCGCGTTTCCGCGTTTTGGGCAGTTTGTTTTTTTTACCATTATTATTATTTTTTTATTTTGAGTTCTCACTGGTCTTTTTCTGTCAATGATTATTTTGTCGCTGTGACTACTATGGTTTTGGTTCCACGACATCCAATCAATAAGCGCTGCATATATGGAGGACTATACACCAATGGACAATCGCAACTACTTTATGATGCATTTAGTTGTTTCTTTATAAAATGAGACGAAAAAGTTCTCGTTTCTTTTCGACACTATTACTTAACTTGTTATATGCCAGCGGATTCCCTTGCTCTAAAATTAATAGTCATCGGTTGTTGAGTGATCAAATGGCCGTGAATTAATTTTTTGTATAGATTTTTGACACGAAAAAATCAGTTTCCCTCGCAGAAACGTAGTTGAGAAGAAATTACTCGCTGTGTTATTAACCCCACGGAATGCCTTAAAGTAACTCGGATCTGAATTTGAACAAAACTGTTGTCAAATTGACGACGAATAATGAAAATGATATGAATATCCCTATCAACTCGCTCTTTTCATCCTTGCGAAAACCACGCTTGAATTTCTTGGCATTAGTGTGCTAATCTACAAGATTTTATAAAGAAAAAACAGAGCACTCTTGACAACCTTTTCCCTCCATCTTTACGTTACAATTTGTCCTTTGATGGAATTCTTAGCGAAGGGCACGAGTGTCTTTGCAACCACACCAAAGTTACGTCTTCAAAACACTCGCAGGAACCTTTTCGGTGCGAGACCTATTTTGCTTGACAACTACTGAGTCGGTATCCCGAGTAAAATTATCATTTATCCGCAATAAAACCGTTCGTTTGAAATTGAGTCAGTCTCAAGGCATGTCCTCTTTGGTTCCTCTTCAAATAAGTCCAGAATTGAATAATACATATCGAATAATCAAGTTATTCCTGAGCTCCGATAGAGATTTCCCATTATACCTGGTTTTTTCTTCTTTTACAGCACAAATCGCTGGCCTTCTCTTTCTTTGGTTCAGCTCTTTATCTCCTTCTAAGCACCCATTCATGTGGGTCTTATCAGTTGGATATAGCGATTTTTCGTTGCCTTCAATCTCGACTTTCAAATTCCTGCCTTTCTGGTATTTGAAAACCTGCAGTCTTTCTTTTTTACCGAAAAAAGACACTAAACGTCTCCAACCTGGAACTTTCTGCTTTTGGCGTTGATGTACAGGCAATTTTTTCTTCATAGTTTTTAGTCTGTCACTCGTAACGGTTTTGATATACAATGAAAATATTTGGGCGGAGAACTTATTTTGAGCCAAAAGCAAACAAGTATTTCTCAATGACATCACTGAACTAATTAGTGAACTTTCAACAAAACAAACAATCAAATATAACAACGCCCAGATACAGAGGCACTTAACTGTACTGCGTGACCGAATAACCAGATAGGTAGGTAGCTATACACTTTATTGTAACTGGAAACGGCCTGGCTGAAAATGGCTTTCGGCCTGAATAACGAAAAAAGTCGTTATTAAGAGCAAATGGCAAACAGAGCACATTTCTGATGACTTAAAGTCTCTAATGCTATGGTGCAGATCGTATTTACTACAAAGAGTCGGGTTTTTTCTTGATGGTCGTTCTTAATTGTTGTCAATTATTTAATTAGTTTCCATGGGAATCCTAAACCGAACAAATAAACCATCAACCGGTCAATAATAACCTATTTTTATCCTAAGGAGATCAGATGGACCCGGTACAAATGCATCATTCATTTATAATACTGTTACAAAACATGATCTCGGCGACAGAAGTAAAATGTTTTTTTTTGGATAGGGAGCATAATTAAAGCCAAAGACTTTAGTCTCCGTTATAGCCCTATGAAATACTAAATTAGAATCACACAATAGTTAAATGTTAAATTAATTTAAAAGCTATAAGATTCCATGAACTCAGAAACTGTGAGACGTAAATATCCTCTTGATTAAATCAAATTAGGTAACTTCATTCAGATTTCTCGAGAGTGAAAAAGCGGAACAAATCATTGATATTTTCCTACAGTTTAACAGCATTCTAAGAAAAATTGCTTCATGCATTTATAGTTGGTATGTGGAATCGGAAGGAGATAGGATAACTTTGACTGGTGTTCCTTTTCTCTGGGAAAGAATTCATAATCTGCGAATCGATCTTTTCAGTATTTATATTGAATACGACATCCAGTTTTATTTCAGATCTCACACGCTATTATTAATATTCTGTGGAAATGATATGAAGACTAGGTTTTCTCTCACATGTGCGGGGAATAGTCTTGAAAGGGGTATTATTTTTTTTGCATTTAAAATTTTGAGGGGAGATCATTTAAGGCAAGTTTCCTTCATGAATAATATATGCGCACATACTTTTTTTCAGATTTCTCGTTGGTGATGTGGATGACATATCATCATGATAACCGGCTTTTTGACATTTTGAGGATCATGTTCCTTCATATTCTGTCTCAGCAGAAGAAGTCAGAAGATAAGTGACTCTTTGCTGACAAAGATTTGCTCATTACCTTTATATTTTTTTAATGATTAAATGATGATGGAAGGATTAAACAACGGTGCCTAATGTATGTCAACTTTCTTTTCCAATTAGTTAGTAGTTTTTGCTTGAGAAAAACTTCGAAGTTAGACCATAGGAAATTAGAGACAATGTTTTATTCCATAGGAAAACATAACAATCAGAGACTTCATTACAATAAGATACCTGTTTGGAAGAGGTCTTTTTTTTTAAATATCGTGAGAATTTTTTTGCTATTCGCAAACAATGTTTACTTTCAGCAAGACATAACTCTCCCATAATTCATTTAAGCGTATATGGACATGATCTAATGACTTTTTTTAACCTAGTAATGTCTCCCAATGTGACAGTACAAGACCTTGTCACAACTAATCATCAATTTAGATCCCATAATGATGATCGCCGCTTACACAATTTTTATTATTTGATTTACCTTACGACGTAGTTGTTAATAAGAGTGAGTCATTTGAACAAAATATTATAAAGACTTCAAGACTTTCCTTCGCGCGAGATTGCTGTTTTTTTTTTCAAGTAAAATGTGCTTTTGCTCCTAATAATTCAGGAAAGAAAGAGGATTAACTTGACATATGTTTTCATACTTAATTTGAAATTTGCTCTCTGTAGGTGTGGTTCAAGCATCAAAAATAAATTCAATTCTCACCTTAACGCCGAAGCAGCAGTCTCTTTCCAAAAACGAGCGTGAACTTGAATTTAAATTTTTCTCCTTGAATGTGTGGTTAAAGTATCAAAAATAAATTCAAATCTCACCTCAATCCCGAAGCAGCTCTTCCCAAAGCCAACGAATTCTTCTTTCGATTTCCTCTGTTAACCTCTATGGTAGAAAGTTAATTCTGTTTGAAAGTTTCTTGTGAGTCACCCTCTGAACAGATTTCGTTAACCCGCCGCTATCAGATGCGAAGGTTTTTCAATCGAAACAGATATGTTGTAGTGCTGTAAGTGTAAATGTGGTAATGTTTATTTAAATTAGTCCTAACATGTGTCTTTATACACAAAATTCCCAAGAAACCGAGAGTCGATTTACCACACTACAATGTTCGGCCGAAGCGTTCAAAACACGAGTTAATGGAACTCTTAAGCTGGACCAATTTCTTCAAGGAAAAATTTTTCTGCAATAAATGGACAACATCTATTTAAGCGCAAACCTCTTGTTTCAGTGTCCTATGACTTTTCCCACGCTTCCACTTTTCGTGTGCCAGGAGCTAAAAGACTCTAAGGACTTTTTCTATGTTTCATAGTGAACAATAACACTATTAATTTTGGGACCATATACGTCTCGGCGCGTTCGGTAAATATTCACTGACACTAAGCCATGTCAAGAAAGAACGATGAAAGGCTTAATGGCCTTCTATTGATTAAACGTTTTCGTCATTAACTTTTTGACTTTCTGGCACAAAGAGTGCGATTGGTCTCGAGAAATTAGGCTTAGAAAGGAGTGTGTCACATTTCTTTCAAAAATTCCCAACCTACGTACAGTAAACTTCATTTCAAACCCGGAATTTATAAATTAAAATATTTTTCCGCGCTAAGAAACAATCCAGTTTATGTGAAAATGACGGGGTAAATATACTCCATCTGATGCTGACCTCTATTTGAAATCAGGCAGACTTTATCAATATATTCCCCAATTTTGATTGGGACGCCGGATTCAACTCGTCTCAGCTTACTTTAGTTTGAGCGCCCTTAAAAAATCGGCAAGTTAAACCGTGAACGAGACTGCAGCGATAATCAAGCACCAAAATGATGCAATATGCGACGTTATTCTTTAATTTATATCATGGTACTGTAATTACTGCAATGGCTTTGTTGGTTGTGTTGTCTGATCGTCTGGGTGAGAATTTATATCGATACATCCTAATGCAGCAACTATAACTGACGTTTCGACAAGCTGAAGGGAAGGCATGATGAGAGTTTGGTAATTTACAATCGTTGGTCATTAGAGCGATACACTTCTGTTTCCTTAATTAAACAAGTTTGGCCTTGATATTATCAACTGTGAAGACTCGAGTGGCGAACTTTTGCTGTGATTGGTCTGATTCGATATTTACAGTTGTTAATAAAAGCTAATTTTCTCCGTCATAAAGGTCAAGGGATATTGTTTTCACTAGGTCAAACTCCAAGCTTTTCCAACAAAGTGGACGATTTTTAAAGTATCGAAACTATTTTCGAAGCGCCCAATGTTGGTTCATCAAATTGGTCAGCTGCTGCGCAAGATTCCATATTTTATTTCATGCTGCCATTATATTAAAAAAATTTTTATCAGAAGAAAAAATTGACTAGTTTATCCGAAGAAGAATCAACGGCCCTTGAAAACCTCGTCAAACGTTAAGAGATTGTAGATGAAGCACCTGCTGATAAAGGCACCGCGGTACAATATACTTGTTTGTTACTAACAAAATCATCTGCGGCAAGCCTCTCAGCTATTCCGACATCTCTTTCTTTATTTATGTAAAGATTCTTTTCAGAGTCCCTTTTCCGAGAAACAATTGCCAACTCCTGCTCAAACTTTCATGACAATGACCGTCACCGCGCCCTGAACTTCTGTTTTTTGCAATGAGCTTTAAACCGAAAATTTACCTGCCATTTATCCAGACCTCCTCACTGCTTTCGCTTGCAGTTTCCCGAACAAATTTATTGCAAGTTTCATTTCCAAGTTCGTCAAGGAAGAAAATCTAATTTTTGTTGTGCATATTATTACGCTATAAATTGTTTTGAAATTACCCACAGTTCTCTTTAAACTAGACAAGTACGTTAGTTATTTTTCTGTTAAAAGTTCTCCTTAAGTTAACCCACAATCAGACGTTTTTTTTAAGGGCTTGCGTGGATGATTATGACAGCTTTTCCGTGAAAACGGCTATCAAAATCTCAAGCCCTAAACACTTAATCAAAATCACGTTGCTTTTACCTTCACCAATGTATTTCACGACTTACTCACCGTGCTTACACCATGCAAAGCAAGCTATACCTGATGAGACCTGAAGAAGACTGGTAGCTTAAGTGTAGCCGTGCCCTCCTCCCGTGGCGTAGACTGGGAGATGGCCTCCCTGTCGGTAACACGTTGTGGAGAATTTGTACCGGAAGTGGGTTCTCGTGTCGAGAACAGACTCCCTGTTGAATCTTTCATCCTTATAGATAGTGGCATCTAAGAGAGTAGCTTCTGAAACAAATATGCCAGCTTTAAATTTGATTATTGGGTAGAGTTTATTTGCTTCTTCAATGAACTGGCGCAAGAGAAAGATAATGTCGTCGATGTAGCGTTTCCAAACGAACGGTTTGTGAGCGCCTTCATTTAGGATTTGCATTTCGATTTTAGCCATCAAGATATTTGCAAAAGCTACCGCCATTTTGATGCCCATGGTGGTCAACATGCATAAGTTAGCTATGGGAAATTGTAAAAAGATAGTAAAAAAGGAACAAATGATAATAAAATTAGCAGGAAAAGAGACAAAACTATCATATCTGATTTCGAAAAAGAGAAAGGAAGAAAAAAGCGACCGACACCAACAAAACCGTATGGAAAAAAAAGATAAAACAGCGGCCCAGTTACAACTTGTCTGCCAGATCCAAATCTTACTCAGACAGAAGTTACTCGACCCCGACCCCCACTCGTTGCGCGCCCACGATTACCAGTCGACCACCTGGGATTTCCATATTATATTAGCATAAATCGTCGGTGTAAAGAGTTTTTTAAATACCGGGTTGGGGGTAAAGGTGATGAAGTTTTTTCTGACTTAGATACAATGGAGCGTTTCCGGTCAAGAATAAAGGAAATGAATCATACAAAGAACTGATAGAAGCGATATAAACGAGGAATATTAGCACGTTTCGTAATGGCGGACGGCCTCGTTTCCGGGGCCCGTTAAACACAAAAATTTGGACACTTTTCAAAGAAGCTATCGAGAGTGTTCATTGGCACAATGTGGCGCATTTTTACCTCTGAAGACGCATTTATGATACATACATTTCTTTTATTTTATGCTCACTTTTCACTAGACGCAGCATTTGTAGCCGGAACATCATTTGTTAGGTTAATCAACAGAGACTTGTGGTGTTGGCCGCTGTGCTGATACTTGCGAGGAACATTTTAAATTTCCTATTCGCCCATAAAACATACCATTTAAAATACATTCATTTTGTACAAAAATTATATCCCTTACAAAGGGACATAGATATACATTGTCCCAATGCAAACACTTTCATAAGTTTCACTGCACTGTATTAATCAATACCCTTTCCTCAGCGGCAATTGGTGGCACTTACATAATATATTTAGTTCTAAATGCATGTCCGCTTGGTATCCCCGTACTCCACTATCTTAGCAATTAAACATCAGGGGAATACTCCATCTAAAATCTAACTGGCCTGTACACCCGTTATGTAGCTCCTTTAAATATTACTGAATTTAGGACAGAGCCCTCAAAACCTGCTGAACTATGTGAGAGGGCAGTCAACCTTTCAGCAGAACTAGATACTTTCCTATCCATTCACTTAACTGGCAACAGAAAAAACGGAACTGAGGAGGAGGAGGACATGCCCGACATGCAACTATCGCTAAATTATCATAAGTTAGATATGAAAAATTATAAAAAAAATAAAATTTGAATACATTTTTCGGACAGTTTTCAAAGAGGCTATCAAAGAGTGAATCCAACTGACTCAAGTAACCATGGACCGTGTAGACTGTAGACATCAAGCCTAATAATATAAATCATAACTGGGCAGGTGAACTAAATGCAACCATCTTTGTTATGTGTGAATAGTGTTGACCTCTCTCCTTCTCTTCTCCTTTTTCCGCCTGCACCCTGCGAGAGAGCTTGCTATCAAACCATGTATTAGTAACAAGAGTTCCGTGGTCATCCCTTTGCCCTTTACCTAATTTGAATCAAAGTTCTGGCTGATAATTCTCCCTCTTAGGATCTAGGCATTTTTTCGTAGAGTAATTAAACAAAGTTATTGTCATTTCGAGATAACATTCTCCATTCAAAAAAGTTTTTCGATCTCATCATCGCTTTGCCAGTGAATATAAACTGAAATGGTAAGGAGAAATTGCATGTTGATGACCTGAGGAGGTGAAAAATAGCCTCGTCTTTTCGACTTTTTCATGTGCCCACACAACCAAGGTCGTATTCTTCTGGGATCAACGGTTTTAACCGCAGTTTTAGTTGAAGCGTTTTAAGATTCCTTATAGACATTGAGAAATGACTGGTAGCTGTACACCCTACTTGCTTGCGAAGACGACAGCGGTCGCTATGCATGCTTTTTGAAGGAATTTGATTTTCAAGTTAATTATTTGAATCTAAAAGTAATTTTACTCCATTTGACTTTATTTTTCACATGAGTGTTTTTCTCTTTAAGCTGAATTTTCCCTCGCACTTTCCACCATAGAAACTGCTGTGATGGCAGTACCGTCGCTTCCATCTGTTACTCGATTACTGTTTATTCTTCCACTGATTTTAAAACAGACTGAGAGCATGATTCTGAGGTAACCGTTGCGGTAGTTCTTGTTGCTCAACCCATATATGAACGGATTCACACAGCTGTTAACAAATACCAAAATAGAGAGACCATGGTGCAGTTCGCTATCCAGTCGTGCTTTTCCAGCCATTGCCAGCGCGTAGTTGATTTGATTTGGCGCGTAGCACACAATGAGCATGAAGCAGGCGGCGCCGACCATCCGCGTCATTTTCCCGCGCAATTTAGCTTTGCTTTCAGCTGAGGCGACTGTAGACCTGCCTGCCTTGTAAACCATGTGAAGGAACAGACACAACATGGTCAGGCATGGGAGCACCATTTTGAACAGGACTTGAATGATTGCAACAGTACTGCGCACTTGTTGTTTACCCCAGAACAATTTCCATTTGCAGCGGCGATTCAATGGCTCCGTGGGAACATACGCAACTTCGAACAGAGATGTGCCACAGAGGAGAAATGACCACAGCCACACGAGGGAGATGTAAACGAGCGTTCGCTTCTTGTTAAAGACCTCTTTGTACTTATATGGTCTGACCACTGCATACCACCGCTCAGTTGCCAAAGCCATACAGATGTAGGCGGAGAAAACCACCAGCTGGAACAGAATCGTACGACTCCACAATACACGGCAGAAGATGTCGCCAATGACGTGATTTGTTGGATAAGGAAACGCGTCACCAAGGACAAAAGCTGGGTTTGTGCTGAGCAGCAGGGCAGTGAGAACATCAGATATGGCCAAAGACAGAATTAATATGTTGTAGGATTTTTTTAGTAGGTCCTTGTTCCCGAAAAGACGAGAATAACCAAGATGTTCCCAATTGTAGCGACGACGGACAGAATAGAGTATGTTGTCTGTGTGAACGTGGTTATTCCAGGAGGAGGTTGAGGGCTTAGTGAAGGCGTTGATTCGTTGGAGACGTTCATAATTACCATATGGGTGTCAGCGTCTGGATGAAGTGTCCGATTTGATGCCTTAAAATTATCTGTTCTTCGGTGCTAGCATGGATTATTCTGTTAGTCTGCGTAAGAACACATAAAAAAGTATTAATCCCAGCATTCACTTCAAACCTGCCCAAGATTGCCAGCTGTAACAGGCTTGAGATGTTCTGCAACAAATTTGGAAAAGAATTTGGGAGCAATGAGCTATTTCTCGTCGATGTGAAACTTAAAAGAGACCCGAACAGAAAAATGTGTTGCACAGTTCGTCAGATGAGAGGTTTGCCATTGAACGTTACTTTGAAAGAGGATTTCGTTATGATACTATTGCTTAGTTTTTAGAAAAAAGGGATGAAGGGCCTTCGGTTTCACGTTTAATCATAACCATTACAATTTCCTCAAATGTGATTGTTGCATCAGCTGCTTTACATTTCACTGATCACTCTGTAAAATTGTAATCGGACAGTTGGCCATAATCGGAAACCTTTAACCTAAGTCCACTCACTGGCTAAATCCACCGCTTTGCGGTCGTCCGATTTTGTTAATCACTCGAACGATTACAGACCGAATTGGACTCCACTCGGTCCTATTACCATTATTAATTATCTCCCGAACTTCGTGCTCTGAATGGACTTCATTTCTCCTCAGTCTCAACCCAAACTCACACAACCTTCTCTTTAGAGTCCTCAAGTTCATAGAAATACCATGGTATTTTTCTAAAAACTGAACAATACACCGACGTCAGAATAGCTCATTGCTCATAAACTATTTTCCACATTTGTGGCAGAACATCCCAATGCACTTGGTACAGTTTAGTCTGTTCGCGTAGTGACTCCAGGTCGACCTAGTGCAACCTGGTGCGACACGATGTGCTGTATCTTGACAAAGTGCTGACTACTGGCGCAAGTGTCGATTTGCAAAAATTTTCTGATTTTGGAAAGATTCTTGGATTGTAAACTATTTTCGATTTTCATGAAACTTTCTTGTGGATCTATGAATTAAGCCAGGATTTGAAATTGATTTCTCGATTTGAGAAACTTTTCAAAAGCGATTTGTCTAAAAGATATCGATTCTAAATATTTTTTCGGATTTTCAAAATATTTTTGGATCGTCCCTTTTCGGCTTCCGTACTTTGTAAATTTATATCATAGTAAGGACTCAGTCGTGTAGTAGTCGTAGTTGCTGTTGACGGGAGTGACCGAAAATTTAGAAAGCTTTACGGAGAGAGAGTTACTATGGAAGATTATTCATTTTGAGTAGATTGGAGACAATTGTGAGATTGTTTCAGTGGTGAGCCAAGTTATGAATTGCGGTGCGCTTTAGTAACTTTATCAAGGATAACTGCTGTATTGCCTTTAGGAGTCGCTCTTTAGTAACAACATTACCACTTGTTTAATAAAGTGGTTAAATTTAAAGGATTGTGGTGTTTTCTCTATCGGTTGAATTATACCGTAACAGATGTCTATAGCTGGTTTCTTTTCTTCTTCTTCAATATGTCACTGTAATCTGCCCTTTGCCGAAATAACTTCTGTTTTAGCCGCTGTTGAAACTTTTGATCGACAAAGGAATGAAGCTTTATGGAATTGTTTAAGCTTGACTGACTATGAGAAGTTTAAAATCTAGGATGATTTGGCCAAAAAGTCCGAATAACAAAACTGACGAAGCCCTATGTTTCACTATGTCATGTGCCGAAAAGATATTTTACCACTTTCTCACTTCTAAGTTGGCAATATTATCCTCTGAGCTAGAAATACTCTAAATCAACTTAGCTTGGCAAGCTTTTATTATATTTCACCAAGACTGGCTTCAAACCTTCCGGCCATTAATGGTAATTATTTGAGTCCGAGGGCGGCACTCGAGACCGAGAGCACAGTTTCTCCCAATACGGACCTCCCGGCTAGCGAATAAAATACATATATCCCTGAATTTTCAGGGAAGTTGCGTTGACTGACAGTTTCTCGGGCTTTTCATTTTACATTAGTAATTCACTCAGTACTCACCAGCGATGTTGCTCATCTATGTTCCACGACATTGGATCAGTTCTAACCAGCGACTGCAGTGGTATGGTTTTCGTTGCCGTTTTTATTGCAGACAATGCCAGACCCGGAAAGCACCTGTCCTCTGATGTACCGCCCAGATTTAGGAAACCAAAGAGAACCATCCATTTTTTTTCGGTGAAGCAATTTACAAGTGATTGGTTTGTGCTAAATGGATTATAATATTCAACAATGAAACAAACGCAGTAAAATCTCAAGGGCTGCACTAATTTCTGTTTTTATTTATGTTCTCTAGCGCATCTTTACATTTGCAAAATTTTCACACAGTTTTGAAAAGCTCTGCGTAATAGGAGGGAACCTTTCGGCAAGTCATTGGAAAGAGTAAGTGCATTTTTTCTGAAGACAATAAACGCAATTTCAGAGAATCAATTTTTCTTTTGTTATTCATTTGCGCGTATACCGTTCTGAACCTCTTTGCGAACATATAAACGCAGTTTAGAATCAGGATGCTTTTAAAATTTCCATTATCGTAATGTAAGGGACTTACAAGAAATTCATAATTTTTAATTTGGAAGGGATTCGGTGCGTCTTGTTTTTAATGAAAATTTTTTATGAAATGAAAGGCTGAAGATCTTTCACAGTAACTTAACAACTAACATTTGATTTTTCATGTTCCGACGTAATGACTGCTTGGCTCTAAAAGCAGCAATTTTCAATTGAATGCCAAAATTGATCCCTGTTTGGATTATTTTTTTTATTTATTACAGTCTGTGAAACAAATGAAGACACGCTTGCATGTCATCATGATCCCCATTTTGACTACAACATACCTCAGAAGTTTGACTGCGTCCAGCAAGAAGTGTCTTGAATATCCATATTTTTCTGAAGGGCAGATAAGTAAGATTACGTACCAAGATGCAACGAACATTCTTATATGATGTTTCGAAAGCTAAAGACTATGAGGAAAATCTCTAATAATGCCTTATACCACTTTTAATGATTTTGGATTTCGAATTCAACAAAAGAGCACATCTCCGTCAAGTGTCTCAAAAATTAAACCCAAAATAATCACAACGGCCCAATTTCAGAAGCCAAAGCGAAGAAAAGAAAATTGCCCAAAGCATGGGAAAATGCGAGTGCCTTGAAAAATACACGATTGTTGTTTTGTTGGTTTTTTTCAGTGGTGTGAATTAACTAGACCAATCACAGATGTCTGTTTTAAATCATTACGAATCTAAACAGGGATCAAATTTTGACATTCAATTGAAATTTCTCCATTTGGAGCCAAGCACTAAGACGTCAAAAATGAAAAAGAAAATAAAATAGCTGAAATTACCGCTTCACCGATAATTTCTTAAAGGCTGATGGACTGTTTGTGTTTGCGATATTACCCAGTTTTCACAATGAAGTATTTTTGTTCAATGTCTTTAATGGGATAAATGTGCGCACGGTAAGCTTCGATACGCACACACACTGAGAATAGCTGGGACTACGACGAAACTGAAGCAGATTCGAGCAACTTTCCACCAAATATATCGTTTATTTGTATAAACCAAACAGGCAAGAGATTACAAACTGCAGTATATTTAGCAAATAGAGAAGCCTTGACAGTGCTCTGTTCTGTTGTAGAGCACGCAGAAAGCAGCTAGAGCACGAGAGAAGTGAAGAGAGAAACACAAGACGTACAACATTTCAGTACAAGATCACTGAAAACGTAAGACTCAATTTTAACAAATTTCTGTGACTGAAGGATTCTTGTGTAGTCCCATCATTAAAGAAACTATTTACACTACATCATGCATCAGGCCTAGTTTGGTTGTGAACGACTTTCCGGTGAACCATATTTATCCTCGAAAAAACTCCAAAAATCTACAAACAAATAAAAGAAACTGTTTCGTCTTTTATTCGTTAGAGTCTGTTTGGTAGTTAATAGTTGCACACCTTGAACTATCTGATTTCGTTAAATAAATTAAAAAATATATTTTTTCATCTAATGATTACGAAAAGCATTTTGCTGTTCACGCGTGGTTTCCTGATCAAAGGAAGTAGCGGTGTGAAGGAAAATTTAGGGATGTCATCAAACAAGCTTAGTTTAATTTAAAGTGTAAACCACTTTGACAAATATCTGTATCTTTCATTCGCCTTTCGAGCATAATAATTATTTCTTAAACATCAGCCTCCTGTCGACAAGGACCAAACAGACCGTGGACAGCTCTGGCTGTCGAGGAGTTAATTACCCGGGAAAAATTAACGCCCGGGTGGAGTATGGGAATATTTTGTGACTATGTATCGAGAGCTTAATTAAATATGCTACGCAAGTAAATGCCACGTTTGGTGCAAAGTGAACATTAAATTAATGAAATTGATGTATGAAAACTGTGTTCACAGAGGTAAAAATGAGTGATACCCGGTTTGCAACAATGTCCCGACGCACACACTCGATAGCTTCTTTGAAAAATGTCCGAAACGTCGTGTTTGACGAGCCCCGAAAAACGAGGCAGTCCGCCAATACGACATATGCTAATATTCCTCGTTTATATCACGTCTATCAGTTGCTTGTATGATTAATTTCCATTATTCTTGACCGGAAACGCTCCATTGCATTCTAAGTAAGACAACCTTCCTCACCCTCCCCCCCAACCCGGTATTTAAAAACTCTCCATACCGACAATTGATATTAATCAATGATGGATATTCCAGATGGTCGACTGGTAATCGTAGGCGTGCAACGAGTACAGGAGAGGTCATCGAGGCCGCGGGTTCGAATCACGCTATAGGAGTTATTCTCAATCTGGCTTGGGGGCCGAATAACTTCTCCCCGAGTATGATTTGGAGCTGGCGGACAAGGGGTAACTCTCAAACTGGCTTGGGGGCCGAATAACTCCTCCCCGTGGAATTTGCATTTTGATTTTGTTGTCTTTTC